ACGGTAACATCTCATTATGATTCCAAAAATATGATAATAATGTTTAATCACGATAACATTTATCAGGGTGGATCACATATCGATTCAACAAATAAAATTTTCAATTGTATCCTCAAAATTTAAATAAATCAGAAAAACATTCCTTCCTAGAATCTAAAATGGAAATGTGAAACTAAGAATTCAGCAAATATATATATATGTCTTAAAAAATACTTTTTTTAATATTTGGATATATAGTTTCTTTCCACACATTCGTAGAGAAAATTTACTGCGTGACCGTCAATTTCAGTTTTACGTATCGGCTCGCTTATCAAAGTAGATAGTGCTACGTTGCATCGGAAATAGATAGAAAATGGTCGGCCAATATTTACTACGACGCTTTGACTACCGTTCCAGTCGTGCCAGCGGCATTTCGCGAATCGATTCGTCTCGATCGGGACTCCCGTATTCTACCGAGGAGGAGAATTTCACCGGAAGCGATGTACAATCGTCGCGACGCCGGCGGGTCGTGTGCCACGCGAGAGGGAAGGGAGATGGAGAGGCATCGCGAAGCGGCGCGGCGGTGGATGGAGAAGCGGTAGACACTCGCGACGACATGGAAGGTGAATTTGGGCGCGAGAGAGATCACGAGCGGTAGTGAAAAATGAAGGTACGAAACGGGGAATCGCACGAAGGGAAGCTTGACGCATTGCGGCGGGGAAATATGGGTCGTTCCGATTATGTCGGGACGAGCACCGCGCCGGAATCTGACAGTGGCAGAGTGACGCCGCAAAACCTCATACATCTCGTGTATAACTAATGTCCGCATATATCACCTCTTCGTCTCCTGTGTGTATTTTCTTTCTTTTTTTTTATTTCGCTGAGCAATGCATGTCGCGCGTGCGCTCAGCGGAAGCTCCTTGTGCGTTCAAGCACGATGGAACATGTCCATTTCATTTAAATGCAACGCTGAAAACGCGCACGTCGTGCGCTCCAGCACGCTTCGGGCGGTTATAGACTTTATGGAAGATAGCGTGCGAGATGATATATTACCTTCTGGCCCACTTCACTTCCCCAATCGCACGCTCCGTGTCATTGTTTGAAAACCTTTTCCTCTTATTTGCAAATTAGTCATATTCTCGGATATTTATTAGGCGACCCTGTCCGCGAAATTATTTCTTTGGAAACTCCTACCGACACTTAATGTAAGAAATAATTGGTGCATTAGAAACTATTGTTATTTTTTTGAATTTTTTCAATGTTTTTATCTTATTATTTGTCATATAATGAAAAAAAATATTGAGCAAATTAACAGTAATATAATTGTTAATTATAATTTCCCACTTAACAATATAACTATTACATGCTACATTACATTTATATTGCTGAGTGGAAAATTATAACTAATTAAATTATATTATTGCTAGTTAGTGGTGGCTGAGTGGGAATATCCATAGAAAAGATTTTCGGATCCAATGCTATTAGTCTTCGATATATCATAAAATAGGATCAATATAGAAAAAATCATATTTATTGTTGAAAGAGAAATATTTTACTCTTAAATGAAAAATTCTTAAGTTTAAAATGAAATAATCAACTGCGTTAAATACTGTGGCGCCAATATTGTGCGTTATAACATCGGATAAATACTTATTCTAAATGTAAAAATACATAAACTTACTCTTTAAATTCTTTGGAGTTGAAGCTCACTCTAAAGAATGAAGATTAAGCCAGTCTTTAAAAAGAATGATTTAATTTTCAATCTTTAAGGGGAGATTTTACTTTTTAGAGTAAAATTCAAATTAAAAATTTTAGAGAGTAAATTTATATATGTATGTTATTCTTGTCTCAGAACAGAAAGAAGATAATAGGAAATTAATCTAATTTTAATATCGTTTTGTTTTTATATTGCATAAGGTTACAATAAAATTAGTACGTCGTTAAAAGTACGTTAAGAATTTTTGTTTCATCATTAGAAATCCATTCCGAGAGAGTATATGAACGCGTAAAGAAATTATAATAAAATTAGCATAGTGTTTCCTATATCTTGTTAAATATCTGGGTTTCCTCAGGAGAGAAGAGAGAGAGAGAGAGAGAGAGAGAGAGAGAATTAACGCTGTTAAAACTTTGCTTTATTTTACGATATTTTTTTTATTGACAAAGATGGATGTTTATCTAATTCAACATGGCATTCTTTAATTAGTTTTTGCAAATTGATTTCATACAAATGTCAATTACACTTTAACCCTTAAACAATTTAATATAACATCGGTCAATCAGAAACAAATGCAACGCCTTGCTTCGTACTAGCTTCACGTCTTTTCGTAGTAGGTGGTCCAAACAGTGGACGAAAATTAAAGAACGTTAAAAGGGCATTGTACTCGTTAGCACGGTTTCAACCTGCAACGGGCAGTTGCAGTTAATTGGTGTTCGTCCGGCGAGGAATACCGGTCTTTGACGGGTCTGTCTCGAGTAGCGGTCTAAGGGTTGTGTTTACTCTGTGGACAAAGTCAGCAAGGCCCGAAATGCCTGGACAATACGAAGCAGTGGTGGTAACTGGAGTGTCCTGAATCCTTCGCGGTCCAATCTCGTTTTGAGATTTTCAAGCGCCGTCGTGTTAATCGACCACCGCGATCGTCACCATTGTTCTATCATACCCAAGAGTCCTTTTACGTCCTTTAATCGGTGCAAGACGTCATGCATTTAGACGTCCTACGTTTCGAGTACCTACTGATTTTTTTTTCGCCCTTTCGTATCTCTCTTCTTTTTACCTCTTCCTCTGTCCCTTTCCCGAGTGTGACAGCGACGTATCCATTTTTACCGGTGCTCGAAGCTTTGCGTTTTCTCGAGTGGATTCCCCGTTTCTCCCATCTCAACCTGCCATATTCCTCTAGCAGGTATGTGCGCGAACATTCACCCCGGTACGAATGCAGGTGTGCGCTGGGCCGAATAAGCCCAGAAGAGGCGCGAGGATGATGGCAACTCGTGCGTCTCCAAGCTTCGTCGATGTCGTCGTCGTCGTCGTTGTCGTCATGAAACTGCTGCGGCAACCACTTCCGTTTGTGCGCGTTTCGTTTCTACGAACGTTTCGTCACGCTTGTCACATGCTTACCGCACGAAAGAGACCGCGGTCTGGTAAAAATATTGTGATGGTCGGTAGCATCGTTATTGTCCACCGTTCTGAGTTCGCCACTACCCATCGGGCGGCGAACGATGCAGAAACGTATGCGGTTTACACCGAAAAGAAAGCATGACGTACAACGTGATATAACGTTGCGTAAAAAAATTCCATTATTGAAAAAGGTTATGTAAAAATATAATATGTAAGGTAGAAATTATAAAGTACTTGTTTTATACAAGCCCCGACTGTTTCACGATAAGCGTTGCGTAAATTATTGCGACGTCAGTAAATTGACCTACATAGGCGCATTATCGTTGATAGAGATACACATGCAGCATTTAAATACAGCCTGCTCCGTACAGCCTGCAGCTCGAGTTGAAATTAATAAACCTTTTAAATATGAAATATACTAGATGCATCAGTTCGATTTTTTTAGTTTTTATTTATTAATTAAGAATGGGACGTAGGGAAATGTCTTAACATCTAGTGTATATATATCAAACACGAATAATACAGATTAACATTTGCTATCTGTTAGGTACATAAATAATCTATTTATTATATGTATCTGCGGTGGTCATACGCTAATGTATGAATTAAATATATGTGTACTGTATGAATTAAATATGCAAGGTTTCGATAATGCATAGCTTATATAACAAAATTGTGTGATAAATAGGATCTTTAAAAGCTGGGAACTTATCTCTGAATACTATTTATAGTTTTAATCTGCATTTTCTCTTTCTCTCTCCTCTCTCTCTCTCTCTCTCTCTCTCTCTCTCTCTCTCTTTCTTTTTCTCTTTCTATTACATGGAATGATATATGGCAAATATCGATTCACACCTGACAAATTATCTTTCACAAATATAGGCATAATAATACATTAAATTACAATAAATGCATTATTTTTGGTATTCATGGCAGAAAATTATATGCATATTTCCAAGATATCCAGTATGGATTTTGGCATAAATTTTACATTTGCTATGTAAAAAGTTGTGAAAATATTATAAATATTAATAAAATAATCTATATCAACACATTTATATATTTACCCTTAACGACATTTGACACGCAGGAAGATAATATCGTGGCAGTTATTATTACGTGTATAATTTACCTAGCTTATCTCGAATTATCGACCGACGAAAAAAGATGACATGTGTGCTGAATATAATTCGGTGGGCGTTACTATTTGTTGAATGCATAGATATTCAAGACTACGGTTGTCTGATCGGCGGGGAGTCCCAGGCTATGCTGCGGAATGTTTCTCATCCGCTTGGACATGGGCTCACCGGGGAGACCCCATTATCTTCAGCCCATAAACATTAAGCGTCTCGCCGGACGAATGTCCGTTAAGAATGCTATCGTGTGCCACTGTATTGCGGCGAGAGGCGACTCGAGCTCCGGTGTTAGTAGCCTACCGAGATAATAGCTAGGACATTCACATTAGATATCGCGCGAGTGAAACCTTTCCATCAAGCCGTTAACGGAGACGAAACTGTCGTCTGTGCTTGTGTAATCAATGCTCGCTTGGTTTTAATTATCGTTGGAGAAACGCGGCATGAATAAATGCATACTACCACGAAACCGGTTTTAGAGAGAATGATCTTGTCGCCACGACTGCTACCTCGTCCGTTTTCAAAGAATCGTTTGTAAAAAATGAATGTGATATTCTGAGAATGAAAATAATTATTTTACTTAACGAAGTTAGATGATTAAGTGCAAGTGACTAAATCTTCTTACAACGTAAGAATTAACTATTCATATAGTAGCTATAGTACATAGTAGTAAACAAGCGTCATCTATTGAATTTTTAATGATTGTAAGATAATTGCATTAAGTATATCTATAAATTATATCGCAACATAGTATGTAGAATACTATTGTATAACAGACATAAAAAATTAAAGTGATATTCTATATATGACTTGGCAAATATAAGGTGATGTTGTTTCACATTAAGGAATCACCACTTACGTGTAAATTACTGAAAGTTAAAACGCAACCGCTTCCACAGTTTAGTTTAGTGCTCGTGTGACCGTTGAGCAATTCATATCGCACCGTCTTTCGTAACGTCACTCACACATTGAGTTATATCTAGTTCCAGTGACTGCACACATTACTCGAACATATTTTCCTAATATGTTTGTACATACGTTGTTTGTCTGTCATCTTTATTAATGGTAAAAACTTATCGAATGTACGTGTATAAAATGAAATTATTTATACGAAGTGTTTTGTAATTGCCTTATGATTTATCCATGAATTTTTTGTTAATTTAAAGAGAAGAAAAGAAAAACTTTGACGTAAGTATTGAATTAGCAGATCTCAATTTATTTTTATTTAAAAGGGAAACAATATTTTTTTAAATTGTAGAATTTTTAGATATGGAGAATGTTAATTTAAAACTATTGTGGAGATATCAAACAATAGATATAATATTACGATATCAATTTTATAAACTGAAGTTTATAAGCATTAAATGTAAAAAAAACACTTATTTAGGTCGTGTTCTGATATACATTGTCAATATTGAAAATCTATAGTATACGTAATGTGTACTATAGATTTTCAGTACTGATATTCAGCAATGAATAATGAAACGCAACCATAATAATATTTTTCAAAATGAATGTCGTCAATCCATATACAGAGAGAATTGCATTGCGATAACTTGAGCAAGAACATTATTTCGCTTATAGCAAACAAATATATTTAGTAAACATCTGGTATTAAAATTGGAATCAGAATCGATATCGGAGACTGGACATTGTTTAATTAAATGCGACATTGAAAACAAGTTAAACTTGTGCCTGATATTATTTAACATGTATAGAAGAAATAATTCTGAAAATACCCGTATTTAATACATAGTAAGATTTATACGAAATTGTTTTCCTGCATGACAATATTGTGTATCTATTAATACGCGACCATGCGCGTTATCAGTACAAGGAACAACATATTTATTAACGGAATTGAGAAAGGCAGTGAAACTTCGAACCGTATTTGACTTTACAAGTGAGTGACAGTGAGCTTCTTGTTATGCGATCTATAATCTCATGTCGAATGTAGGCATGCTCAGCATCGAGACGTAAGTCTAGAAAGATATTTGTGGAGGAGGAATCTGGGTATCGGGTGTGTATGGGTGCCGTCTCATCGTCGACGATATAATTCGATAGTCGTAATCGAGCAGTTGAATGTGCGACCGAGCGAATTGGTGATTGTATCGATACGAAAACAAACGACGAAAACGGCGACACTGGTGCAACGATTTAAAACGTAATGGTCATCAATGTCATCGATTCATTAACCGAGGTCACATTGAATATTCAGAATGATGGGTAAGGAAATAATTTCTCTTCTATTAACATTTATAATAATAAAATAATTAAAGCAATAATTTCTTTGTCTTTTAATTTGTAAAACGTACATTTATGTGCATGATAGGTGTTTATATTTAATATATATATATATATATGGTATATATATATATAATATAGTGTGTGTGTGTTTTCTTTTATATCTAAATGATAAATTTTACTACCTTGTCATTATTCTCATTTAATGTTACTGATATTACAAGTAAAAGATTTTATTTAACTCATAATTATAAATTTATATGTGAAAATAGTTTTTTTTAAGCATTACCGGCACAGTGTAAAAATAATATCTATTCACACACATCACTTCTCTTTCTTTTATCTTCTCTCACTCTCACATTTTGGCATGTAGCAAATTGTAAGCAAATTGTAGTGTTTCCTAGATTTTATTATAAGTTAAACAAACAATTATATTTTATTTTTAGTATACATAATTTTAATTATCTTTTATAATTTTGATCTTATAGAGATACGCGTACGATATTTGTTCGCTATCATGCTGTGCATAGCGAACATGATCATTTATGGTCTGAAAGTAAATATCGCGACGGCTATCATCGGTATGGTGAAAAAAAAGCCGGGTATACCGGATTGGTCAGATGAGTGTCCGGAATTTGATGTTCCTGGAAATACCATCACCGATATCGACGGTCCATTCGATTGGACAGCAAGCGAGCAAGGTTTGGTTATTAGTATATACTTTGCTGGATATCTTGTCGGCATGTTTCCATCGGGATATTTGGCGGATCGGTAAGTGTTTTAATGTTTCAAATTTTTTTTATACTTATGTAAAATTATTATTATTATTATTATAATAAAGCAATTCCTTGAGTTTATAAAGATGCTACAGTATGCATGTAAATGCTATCAACATCGCAGATAATTTCTGACAGATAATTTCTGCATTTAGGGAATTAGAGAATATACGATCAGTTATTCGGTCATATATAATAATTGTTTAATATTTTATTTATTCACATATATCTATAAATTGTAATAATGAAGTATATTGGATACAGGTTTGACACGAAGATAGTATTGTTAGTCTGTGTGCTGGCAAATGGAATCTTAACAATATTGGTGCCGATCGCGGCAAAGGAGTTGTACGTACTATACATCGTAAGATTTTTGACCGGTCTTGTGAGCGCAGCGAATCTTCCTATAGTAAATGTTCTTCTGGGAACATGGGTTGTGTACGAGGAGAAAAGCACATGGGTCGGCATTATATACGCTGGAACATCGCTCGGCACCGTGATATCTATTCTTACCTCGGGATTGATATTACGTTACGTAGGCTGGGAGGCTATCTTTTACATCCACGGAACGACACCGTTAATCTGGTGCATCATCTTTTATATATTTTTCGCCGGTTGTCCGGAAAAACAGAAGTACATAACGGAGCATGAAAGAGCGTTCATCGTGAACTCGTATGGCCATCGTCCACCTGGATCCTCAAAGATGAAGATTCCATGGAAAAGTATATTTACATCGGTACCATTTTTGGCTCTGATCGCTACGAATACTTTAGGCAACTTTTGTTGGTATTTCTTGCTCACCCAACTGCCACTTTATATGAACAAGATATTACGATATGATATCACATCGGTAAGTGTAATGGAGATATATTAATGTGTGTAAATAAGTTCTCAATTTAAAAAAAAATATATCTATTGATATAAAAATACCGGTACAAACATTTTAATCAAAATATTTGCTTTTCGAATTTATTGTTTTTTGCTATCTTTTAAGTAGCATATACAGGTAAATGGCTTATTGAAAGAATGTTTCGCGCGATTTATCGTTTACTTACTGGAATCATTTTTAAATCTTTTAAAACGATCTTGATACATTCTTTCCGACATAATATTATCTCCATGAGTCTCATAAATTATTCTGCTTCTTTAGTGGAGGTTTTATCGCGATAAAGCATGCAATGACGAATAAGCACTTTTTCAGCATTCATTTTCAATTAAACTAAAAATGTTAATTGCTTAACTGAGCACTGTTACATAATTTTCGAATTGCAGCGCTTGGTCAACTTTACTAATGGAAAAATAATTGGCTGCGTTTAAATACACTGTTGTTAGCACTATTTAAAATTGACCGCGAGAACTTATTTATACATCTCATATATGTAATAACATATAATTTCCTCTTGTATTATGTCATATATAATTATTTCACGTATTTCAAGTTATATTTAATCCAAGAGATATTACGAGAGAGAGCAGAATAATACTATGGATAAAATAATATTTTACATATAGTAATATTATTTTATTCTGTATGACGTGTGCACAGTTACGTGAAACAGAACTCAAGTTTTTGCCAAAATTTTTCCTGAAATACTTTACAGAATGCCGCTATTGTTTGCACACCGTATCTCGTGAACGCCTTCACTAATCCATTAATCGGACGAGTTTTAGATTGGGGACGGAAAAAAGGATTTTGGTCGCAAACAGTTGCACGTAAAATTGCGGTGTTCATAAGTATGTATTCGAAATGAAATTCAAAATAATATAGCTTTATAAATACAGATGTTACCTTTTTTTTATACAAAAATAGTAGTTACATTTACAGTAAATTGAAAATAGTTCCGTAAATATCATAATTTTTCAATATTCATAAAAAATTGAAAAAACATTATATTATTTTTAATAAAATAACTACTTTATTCGTATACATTCTCTTTTAACCAATTAATAAAGTTAGATAGCAATTCTCTCTTTCTCTCTTATTTTTCTCAACAATTCGTAGCAATAGCGTAGTAATAGCATAAATTAAAGAACTAAACTTGAATTATACAGTTTACATATTAATTAATGAAAAATAAATGAAGTATTGTTTGTAAATTTTTTGCGTGATTTACATATTTCGTCGTGATTTTGAATAACACACGCGATATTATAATTTTTGTTACTATTTTTAGTGACAATGCGTAAACTTATTTCTACAATATATGAAATTATAATTGATATGTGAATTAGCTGTATCATGCATCGTACTGAGTTTTATACGCTATAAGATTTGTATGCATATTTTTGAATGTATCTTGAAAATTTATTTGTTGTATCAAATTAAATATGTTCAGTTCAGGAAAGAAGTATCTGATATGTGTAATATATAGTTTGATGCGTTTTTCTTTTTCCAGGCACTATCCCACCTAGCATCTTTCTCGTTATAATCGCATACATTGGTTGTGCTCGTGTGACGTCGACTGTGCTGCTAACTTTGAGTATAGTAGTCTGTGGTGCTATATTCGTCGGTCATCTTTGTAATCAGAACGATCTGGCACCAAATTATGCAGGAATTCTCATGGGTATTACAAATACTCCGGGCACTATTTCCGCCTTTATCCTGCCACCGATAGTTGGAGCTCTCGTATCGGAAGGAGTGAGTTGAACACTTAATGCATGATCAGACAAGAAAACGAAAAAAGAGTCCATTAAGAGCAACGTGACATGATCTCCAATTTCTTGAATTTTTAATAAGTTATGCACAGAGATTCCACTTTCTTGAAGTTTTACGAAAGGTGAAACGACTTTAACCCGATATAAGAAAGTTAAGCCGATATTCGTTCTAAGAAAGACACTGAATCTTAATTGCGTAATCAACTGCGAAGTCAACTTTATTGTAACACGAAATCTTTGAAATGAAAATTTTAATATTATATTTTTTTATTATTATAAGGTTTAAAATACATAATTTTGATATATTAAACTTGATTATTTTAAAAAGTACAGCTGTCACACAGTGCGGCATTTTCAAATTGACGTTTTTTATTTCGATATTAATATTCAATATCTTCTGACAGCATACCATAGCGCGATGGAGAATCGCATTCTGGATTACCATCGTCGCCCAAGTTCTCGCTTTCGTGATATTTGTGATCTTCGGATCAGCCAAAATTCAACCATGGAATTATCCGGTGTCTGAAGTCGAAAACTGGGATGTCGACGAAAGACAACCACAACAAGGGGAACGGCAACAAGAAACGAAGACTTAAATTGAGACTACCTTTGTACAGTTCTTATTAAAAAATCAGAAGGAACATTTTTTTTGTAGAAGAATGTATTCCGCCTGTTGCATAAATAAGAAATGTTATATAGGTAAATTAAATAAGCACGATAATATAAATTATCGTCAAATGAAATCAAGAAGTTTTTGATTTTTATATAATATTCCTTATATATTCACATCTGAATCAACTTTTTATATTTAGGTATATTTCATTATGAAACATTTTCGATTAATCTACTGAGATTAATTAATGGATGTAATACTTAATTATATCACTTTGTATGTGTTATATATACATATCTGTATATCGATAATGTTTTGCAAAATATATTTCAAGAAGAAATTCTGTTGATAATATGCTTTATACTATTATCAATGCTAACTGAAGTTGTAACTGTCTTTTACGTGCGAAAATTTTATAAAATAGATTGTATAATTAATATATATCTATGTATAGATATATGCGAGAAATTTAATAACCACATTCATTATATCCATGATTATTTCTATTTATTTATTTAATTTGAAAAAATCAAGAAATTTTAAAGTTGTGAAAAATATGTATCTAATACCTACATGAATCATTTTATACTTCTGTTTGACGATCTTAACGACGTGCCAAAGTTCACGAAAGTCTCAGAAGTGCTGCTACTTGACGTGTCAAGTTTTACGCTAAGATAATTAGGATCGCGAGACCACCCTTAATGACGGGTAACCAATTAGGGGCTACCTGGTACAAAAATTCTTCTTATCCCAATTAGATCACCACGTCGCGAGACTGTCAATCAGCGCGAGACGGACGGAAAAGAAAGAAGAAGACAGCACGAAAGGGCCGTGCCGGCACCAACAGTGCGGAATATTTACGACGGTTGAAATATTACGCTTGTAATCTATTTCCAGCCTACAGTCGTACGCTTCGACGATTCTGTGAAGCCGGGACGCGAGTGGTAACTGCTTTCCTCGCTAAATCAGTTTCTTTTTCCTTTAAATATTACCGACAACCGCGATAGAAATCTATGCGTTTCCGAATGAGAGAATATTGAACCCTTCTACTTCTTCGGGAATTCTTTGAAAATTTCGTTAGGAAAGATCGAAGGAAACGAGATGGATATTACACGCACTTTCGACGTTCTCTATCAGATTTTCGATCTAGAAAGTGTATTGGTAGTTTATCTTGGGAAATTTAAAAATTTAGAGATTATTTCCTTTCACCTACAAATATCCTCTTCTAGCTTCTTTTTTAAAATGTATATCGCGTTTCAACATAACGTAACGTGATATGTTGTAATGTATTTCTATGAGACAATTGCAATCTTTGAAATTTACTAATCTCAAAATTGGCATGTACTATCTTCTGATGGCAAGGCAAGTATGAGCGGCAAGAGAATCGTTTGGACTTAATATTCTGGTAAACTTCGTTGCATGGATGGTCCGATACGCGCAAGCGAGAGCTTCTCTTCATCGTGTTTACTAATTCATGAGATGAATAACTTAAGGATAAGCGCTCACACGGTATGAATAATGCTTATTCGTCTTCTTAACCCCTTGAGTAGATGACTTGTTCCATCTATCGATGTTTATGCGTAGTCCAAACTTGGTTCGATCGATTCATCGTTTCAATCTTTACGATATGGAAAAACACCTGCCTATCACACTTGCTGTGTTCATCACTCAGATATTTTTCAAAATATCATTCCGCTTACAATTAATATATCTGTCAATAATTATTTGATCGTAGTCTGAATAAAATATCTGTATCGACTAACTTTGGAAAAAGTTTCCCAGCGGGTGTATATCTCTTGTGTTTCTAAACTTTGTTTCAAGTTTACATGTGGATTCTAGTTTTGTATTATAAAGATCAACATAGAAAACGTTTATCGAATTATTTTAATTGAATCCTCGCATTTATTGCAAAGTTCTTTGAATCATCAAGTCCAAGTACGATTCATATATTCTTATTATGATGAATGTTTTTTTATTTTTACGGTTTTTAACGCATGACTGACAGCTACCGATTCGTTTGGAATCGGTTGTCCGAAAAGACATGGCAGCTAATTTACATAGTCTAATATTTTAGGAAGATTAATCGATGTGTACGGTAGGCGATCCGAGCATAACGGTGACGAGTCAGTGAAAAATTCTCTCCGTTTCCGAGTTATCTGTCAAAATGACGATTAATCAAGCGGTAATTATAAGTTCTAAGGATCTTTCGTCGGGCCGTCGTCTCGTTTGCTTAGAGAAGCACGTAGTCCGTAGTTGCGGGTCGCTCGACAGAGGCGGTTAATCAATCCTGGAGCTCGTTACAGTCGGGCACTCCGGTACTTGAAGTGGCGTTAACGCATCCGGAGCGCCACTAAAATGTCAGGAATTGTTAATCTACCCCGCGTCGCGCGCGCACATACACACACACACACACGCGCGCGCTTAACGCACGCTTGATAACATACTGCCGAGGAGGAAGAGAGAAGAGGTGCATCATCCACCTCTCGCGCGGAGAGGGTTGCCGCGAATAAACCCTTACTTTCCAGTTTCTGCCCTCTGACCTCTTCCTCTTCGCGCCACGAGCTCGCTCTTGCTCTTCCCAGAGAACCTTGGCAGGGAGACATTCGCCTCCAAGCAGCACCAGACCGCACCGTTATTACTAGCGATAAATCGCCACCTTTAATAAGAGCTCGCGCGACGTACGCCAGACGGAAGTCAGAAACGACGACGACGATGGCGGTGGTGGCGGCGATTACAACGACAGCGACGACGAAAGGATGGTGAATTTAAGGAACGAATAGGATCGAGTATGCTATATATTCGAACGATATCCATTCGATTTTACTGAATCTTCCCCGGTCGTGCGCTAGTCCTTTATTGTACGCTACTCTGTGATGGGTCGAACGATTTAATTTTGAACATCTCGCTGCACGATAAATATTTCGTATATAAAATACCTGCCGGCGTTACGAAAATTTATTACATTTACTGGAAGATAATATCGTAACGCCTATATTTGTTATATGTATAATACGTACTATCAACGTGGTATGGAGTTTTCGGTGCTTGATCCAAGGGATATGGTACGCTGATGATTTATTGCTGGTGTACTTTGATTGACGTTGTAACAAGATAGATAAACGTATTTCACATGACGCCGCGTTTTAATCCTTTCTATTTCTATATTGACGTTATGCCATTATGCTGTATCAAGCTTTTATCTTATAATATCAACAAGCAATTATCGACATATTTAAATATTTTTTAAGATCTTGGCGGTATGCACAATCTATTTAATTAGCAGTTATATATAAATCACCTGACATCGTCAAGGATACATGTGTTCTTTCCAATATATCTTATCATAGCTTATCTTTACCTACTATATTTGACTTAATTAATTTTGCGTTTTTCTCTCAACTCACATCATTACGACAAATCAAGATTGTAGATTTTTTAAAAAATAAGATGAGATCACTTTTACATCAGTCAAATGATGCTAATTTTACATATGGACTACACACATCAAATAATAGGGAATGCGAAAATAACCGATATGTTTTATTGGATACTGTAATCTGACCGAATTCTCCGACAACTTATGTAATGTTATTTGTGTTTACATTGAAAATGACCCGATCGGCGTCGAAACGTTTGTACGAATATTAAATTTTCTTTATATTGTAACTGGCTCGTAGCCCTTCTTTTATTTATTGATATATAAATGTATTTGTCTGTCTAAAAAGTTTAGTACATTATGCAATAGTTATTATTACTGTATTTGATTGTTCTCTCTTAGATTGTAATCCAATAATAATGATTTCATTAATATTTAATAATTTAATTTAATTAAAATAAAAAAAAAGAATATATTATGATGAAATTAAAGAAGCTGGAAATATAGTTAAGTTTCAGCTTTTCCAGCTTTTTCAATGCCCTGACGGCGTGCTATTGAAAAGTCGTATTTGCACTTGACTTAGTTTGTACACTCAGTTCTGCGTGCTCATTAGGATTGTAGAATCGTTATTCGAATTTTGTCTTAAGAGCACATCAAGAGATACAAAATGAGAACATTTGAGATATAAATGGTTCAATAGTCGCTCTTTGATTACAAAATTATTAAGACTCGGCTGAAAAGCGATTGCTCACGCGAAATTTGACTTTAAATTCATGGTACCGATTAAAACAACGACAAGAATATATATTTTATAAGAAAAGAAATAAGCTAAATAAAAGTCAATGAACCCGATAGATAACAAATACTATTATTGCGACATACGAACAAAATATTTTTATAATGTCTCAGACGCGTCAACCGAAAAACTTTATTTTGACACTTTCTACTCGGATCTCGGCTCACCTGACGGTTCAGTATATCGAAATTCTTTTACGTGAACAGGAAGCGGCATTAGCGAAGAAACGGTTGCACGTCTGTGAACGTGAGCTGGGTTACCCACTGGTGATTGTTGCAGGCAGTCGCCAGCCACGATTCTCGCAGAGAATCAAGACTCTTTTTCCTTACGGCGCAACGATCTGGCAGTATATCGCGAGGGTAAGGGAACAGGGATGATTCCGCTAAGAAACTCGATACGCCAGGTTACCAAGGGATGCGGAGAGATAACGCGACGTGGGGTGGTTCGTAGCCCGTAACTCGGTCATCCCGTTTCCAATTGACCGGTTTTCTCTCTCGCGGCGTAGCCCGCAGTTCGACTGCATTGTACGAACTTCCTGCAGATTTAGCTGTCACCGCATTTCATATTTTAAACGGTAACCGAGAGAAGGGGGAGAGAAAGGGAGGACCGGTCCATGTCAGGGACGATCGACGTGGACACGGAAAGCATGGACCACGAGCGCGCAAACCCTGCGTATAAATATGTATATTCGAAGTATACACATAGGGCACAGGGCCAGCGCGCGGACCTATGTCAAACTGACCAATCGCGCTGCAGCTTCGCGGATTCGTGACGGGAAGCTTCAGAAGAGACCGCTTAATCGGTGGTCGTTGCTGCCGCATCGGATTTTGATTAGCGCGACCACGTCACGTTTGTCCGTTCGTTTGTCGACGAATAAAAAAATGCATCACACACGCCACGGCGCATTAACTCATACACGGCTATACACGCGCGCATG